GAAGCAAGAAGCTCAGGCCTGTGCAGCTTCATGAATAGCCGATTAATAGGCAATTAATAGCCAATTAATAGGCAATAGCCAATTAATAACAAATTAATAGGCAATTAACAGGCAGGGAGGCCCGTTTATTCCTTCCTCCTAGCACATGTCACCGCAGGGGGTGGGTGGCAGCCCCCCCAAAAACGCCGAGCAGCAAGTGGTGGTGGGCACGTCGGGGGTCCCAACTGCCTCTAGAAACCCCCTTTTTCTTAAAAAAAACCCACTTAAAAAGAGCAGATTGCAGGTGGTTTGAAGGGCCTGCCTGCCCCTGCCGGCCTCTCTCCTCCTCAGCAGCAGGTTCCACCTTCTCCTTTCCCGAGGGCTTGTATGACACGGGCCCCACTTAACCCCCCTCGGCCCCGGGGGCTCGACTTGCAGCAGATCTCATGGGGTCACCTCCCCTGGGATCAGCATCTCCCCTGGGGTCACCATCTCCCCTGGGGTCACCATCTCCCCTAGGATCACCATCTCCCTTGGGGTCACCATCTCCCCTAGGGTCAGCATCTCCCCTGGGGTCAGCATCTCCCCTAGGGTCAGCATCTCCCCTAGGGTCACCATCTCCCCTGGGGTCACCATCTCCCCTGGGATCACCATCTCCCCTGGGGTCACCATCTCCCCTGGGATCACCATCTCCCCTGGGGTCACCATCTCCCCTAGGATCACCATCTCCCTTAGGGTCACCATCTCCCCTGGGTTCATCATCTCCCCTGGGTTCATCATCTCCCCTGGGGTCACCATCTCCCCTGGGATCATCACCTCCCCAGCCCCTGCTCCCCCTGTTTCCATCCTGTCCCGCTGCAGAGTGTGATGATGTTTGTGCAGCCCCACTCTGGCCTTTTCCAGGGAATGAATTCCTGCTCCTTTTGACAGGAGATCCTAGATGTTTTGAGGCTTCTCGGGCTCTTGTGGAGGTTTCTTGGAGAACCTGAAAACCTCCGTGCCCTTTGTCTCTTCCCAGAGCTGGGAGTTGTTGGCCTGCTTGGACTTTCACACCAGGGTGATGACCTTGAGGGACCCTGGGGAAAGGCTGGGCTGCCAGGAAGGTGCTTCCAGACCCAGGATATATAGATAAAAACAGTAGTGTGGAAAACAAGGAGTGGTAAAGAAACATCCCTGGGGTTTTCTCTGAGATTTCCTCTTTCTTTGCAAGAGTTAAGGAAAAAAAAGAAGAGATATATTCTCCCCCAAGCAGCCAGGACCTGAGGGCTCCTCAGTGGTGTCCTCTCCTGCCCTGCCTGGGCTCTGAGCTCAGCTGTGCATGTGATTTATTGGAGAAAGGATCCCTTTTGGAGCTGGGGAATCTCCTTACAGACCTGCAGGAGAATGTTCTCATTCCATTTGGGCCTGTCACTGACTTTTCCCCTCACCTCCTTGTGTAGAGAAAAGGTTTTCATGGCTGGGGAGGTGTTGCATGGAGCAGAATTGCAGCTGTGATGTTGGCCCACCTTGAATTGTGTTAAATTGTGTTAATTGTGCTTTGTGTTCTGATCAGGCTGTCATGTCATGAGGCTGAAGATAGTCCCTGGAGTTGCTGTGTTTTGTTCTGTGGTGTTTTAGAGAGAATTCTGCTGCTGCTCCACAGCACACCTGTGGCCAGGGTCACCCTGTGATCCTCAGAGCAGACAATTCCATCTGGGAAGGATGCAACCTGGTCTGGGGGGGTGTTTCTTTGAAGGAAAACTTTGCAGTGGGTTTGCCTGAGGGGTTCATGGTGAATTCAGAAAGAAGAAGTGACTGAGCTGTATCTGACTTGCTCTGAAGTGGAGCTTCAGCCTGGCAAGGTCATGTCTGGTGTGTTGACCTCTCTGCAAAGAGGAAGGGGTGGAATTACAGCAGTTCCTGGCCAGGCTGTGTCCCGTGGGTCAGGCAGCTTGCAGGGCAGTCAGGCTCTGCAGGGAGCACCCAGGGTGGCTGGAGCTGGCCTGGGGTTCAGTTCCTTTTGGAAAACTCTTCCCACCTTTGTTGGAAGCAAAAAAAATCAATCAGTTTGGGATAGAGTTGAAGGAAAATATGAGTTTCAAATAGTGTCTTCCTCATTTGCCCCTTTTCATACTTTATTAATTATCAAATTTTAATGCAGTGACATTGAGATGGAGAGTTTTATCTTGGATAGAGGCAGCAGTGGTTTTGTGTCCTCCTTCCCTCTCATTGTTCTTGTCCCTTGTGCTCCTGAGAGCCTTTTTTGGCTGGTCCCAGCTCATTTTGCACAGACCACTTTACAACAAACCTTGAACTGGTGGAATCCAAGACCTGGTTGCTCTTGAGTCATCCATCAAAGTCAGGCTGTTGGTTGGGAAATCTGCTTTCCCTGCATGACAAAATCAGTTATGGGGCAATGTCAGGAGTAGGAGTTTAGCCCAGAATAAACCAACGTCTTCATCTGAAGTGGGTAATGGGATAACTAGTGGGAAATAGGGGCTTATTTCTGGAAGGAATGCCATGGAAAAACTGATCTGTGGAGCTAAACTCACTGCATGGACGTATCCCAGTGTTTTGGGAAGGGCTGAATGCAGGGAACGGAAGAGTGGAACTACTTCAGAGTGTCTGGTGGTGAAGAACATGTCTGTTAGGTTTCTCTAGCTTGCTTGGCTCTGGGAAGTGGGAAAACCCCTTTATCTAATGGAAACAGGGCTCCCAGAAAACTCCCCCTAAGGACTAGTTCTATAGAATCGTTTTGCTCTTGCGTTTCCCTTTCTCCTTAAAGATTCCTCCTCTGGTATTTTAACAAGCTGTGCCCATCCAGTGCTTCCCCAGAATGAGTGAAATTCATACTTTGTGGCTTTTGGCCCCTTGTTGTCCCTTCCTCTTTGCCCCCAGCTGTGCTGCACGCCCGCTGCTACTCTCATGGGTCCCAAGAGTCAGACGAAGAATTCGACGCCCGCTGGGTGACGTATTTCAACAAGCCAGATATTGATGCCTGGGAGCTGAGGAAAGGTATGTGGAGTGAAAAGGGAAGAGTAACATGGAAGTAGAACTGCTGGGGGACAGGTTTGTGACCAGAAATGACTTAGTTTTTACCTTGCTGATGGAGGGCAGAGGTGGTGGAAGCTGGGAGTAGTAGAAAGGAGGGAAATGTTTGCCCTGAGGGTGATATATTTGAGGTCAGGTGTTGCTGAGTGAACAACCACACACATTTTCCTTTGGACTTTGACTTAGTGGGTTGGCCATAACTCACTGTAGACTCTCTGGTTGTCTTCAGGTGTTATTTGCTGTGGAGTTGCCAGCTCCTATTAACTTACCCCAATTAGAGCTTATAAATGTGTTTGCATAACAGCCAGAAGGCTCTTTCCAGCCTTACCTGGATGAGTAGGTGTTGGGCTGTTCCCTTTGAAAGGGAACTAACAGCAACAGGAATGAAGTAGTTTGGATGTCTTAAGGATTCCATAACTGAAGAGCCACAGTACAGACACCAGCTGCTTTTGGGAGCATGGGTGGAACTGGGATTTCTTGAAATCCACTTAAAATGTTAAACACTACAGTAATGAGCAACAGTGAGAGGGAGAAGAGCAAAGCAAGAAACCAACCGTGTCCTGGGCTGCATCAAAAGCAGCGTGGCCAGCAGGGCCTGGAGCAATGTGACCAGTCCTGGAGCCCCCAGCATAAGAAGGACAAGGAGCTCATGGGGAGAGTTCAGAGGAGGTCACAGAGATAATCTGAGGGCTGGAGCAGCTCTGCTCTGGAGCCAGGCTGGGAGAGTTGGGGTGTTCAGCCTGGAGAAGAGAAGGCTCCAGGGAGACCTTAGAGCACCTTCCAGTGCCTGAAGGGGCTCCAGGAAAGCTGGGGAGGGACTTGGGACAAGGGCAGGGGGGGAGAGGACAAAGGGGAAGGGATGAAAACTGGAAGAGGGAGATTGAGGTGAGACATGAGGAGGGAATTGTGGAGTGTGAGGGTGGTGAGAGCCTGGCCCAGATTGCCCAGGGAAGCTGTGGCTGCCCCATCCCTGGGGGTGTTGAAGGGCAGGTTGGATGGGGCTTGGAGCAACCTGGGCTGGTGGGAGGTGTCCCTGCCCATGCAGGGGGTTGGAACGGGATGATCTTCAAGGTCAGCCTGGGATTCCATGACTCTGTGAGAAGGGACCCCTTGTCCCTGTGTCTCCCCAGAGCAGCACAGAAAATACCAATCCCCCCTCAGGATGGGGGTGCTGAGACTCAATTCTTTCATGAGAGGAAGCAAAATAACACTCGTCGGGTTCCTTTGGACAGGGTGATGATCTGATGCTGAGTTCCTCTTGGTATTTCCTTGCATCCACAGGCATAAACACCCTGGTGGGCTATGACCTGGTTCCAGAGCCCAAGATCATTGACGCGGCTCTGCGGGCCTGCCGGCGGCTGAACGACTTCGCCAGCGCTGTCCGCATCTTGGAGGTGGTTAAGGTGAGTGGATTGTTTTTCCCCTCTTGGAAACAAGCATCACTAGAAAGAACTATCCCAGAGGAGACAGCTTCTCCTGGCTCAGTGGCTTGAAGAAGCCTCACTGGTTTCTTAAAGGGCTCAACGCTGAGCTGGCTGGGAGTGGTAACTCGGGAAGCGGTGTAGGCTGGAAAAACATCAAGCAGCACCATGAAACCCAAGTCCAGCCTCAGCAGGGAGATAACATGAGTGGGGATGGAAGCAGGAGTTCTATTTCAGCCTTGGAAACCAGCAGCTGTGCTCTTCTAACTGTTTGGTTTGGGTTTTGTTTGCCACAGGTGAGGAGGACTGCCTTGGAGGTATTTGCTGTTGGCTCTTAAAGCCACTTGCTTCAAGCTCTGCTCCTCCACCAGCTGCTTCTCAGTTTGCTATTTCTGCAGCCTTCTGCAGAACTGAAGCTCTTCCAATGGGTTTAGAGCTGTAAGACCCATGGAACAATCTTCCCAGTGGTTTCCTTAGCTCTTTTTTTGATTTCCTGGTCCCCATCATGTAGGGGACAACTGAGTTTATCAGAACCCTGGGAGCAACTTTATGGTCTTCCTGAAGTCCTGCCCAAATATTATTCATAGGCTGCTGTTTTTCCCCTGATTTCCAAGCAAGTTAAGTTTTCTCTCTATTACAGATCATCTGTCCAAAAGCTGATTTTATTATTTTTTTTCCCCCCTTTTCCTGTCCAGATCCCACTTTGATTCAATTTACTATGGAATCAGCAGTTTTTTGGGCTGGTTTGTAAAGCAGGAGCTACTCTCCTGAGCCAGAGGTGGATCAGGCACCATTTTTGAGAGCACACACCTGGATTGCAAACCTGGGTGGGCCTGGACAACAGCTTGTTGTGAAAATAACACCTTTATTTTTCCCTCAGGACAAGGCAGGACCTCACAAGGAAATCTATCCATACGTTATCCAGGAGCTTAGACCAACTTTGAGTGAACTGGGCATCTCCACTCCAGAGGAACTGGGGCTGGACAAAGCATAAACCTTCTTGGTAAGGGTTGCTGTTGCTTCCAAGACTTTTGCCATGGGAATCTGAAACTCTCCTGGCAAGGATGGAGTCCTTGCCTTTGTGGCTCTGTGAGAGGCTGAGAAGTTCTTGTAACATGATTCTCCAAATATCTCTCTCCTGGAAAAGTTAGGAACAGGTCTCCTAGAGAAGGTGGTAACTGATTTCAAAGAAGGCATAAAAAAGGGACCTTCAAGATCATCTAGATCCAACCCCCTGCATGGGCAGGGACACCTCCCACCAGCCCAGGTTGCTCCAAGCCCCATCCAACCTGCCCTTCAACACTGCCAGGGATGGGGCAGCCACAGCTTCCCTGGGCAACCTGGGCCAGGCTCTCACCACCCTCACACTCCACAATTCCCTCCTCATGTCTCACCTCAATCTCCCTCTTCCAGTTTTCATCCCTTCCCCCTTGTCTTCTCCCTACAAGCCCAATCCTGAGGGCATTGAGTCTTGGAAAGCCACTTCTTCTACTGCCTCTTTAGATCTGAGCTTCTAAGTGCTCTCTAAACTTAAAAACGACCAGAACTAAAGACACTGATGGGCTCTCACATGAGCTGCAACATCTGGTGGCTTTGTTATTAATCAGCAGCTTCTCTAATTAATGAGGAGCTGGGTAGACAAGACCTAACATGCTATAATCCCAGATTAAAACTAAGCCCAAAATAAAAATCCTGACAGAATTCAGTATCTGAACTCAGTTTCTTCAGCAGGTGGCTGGTGTCACATCCCTGCCTTCTCCTTTTTTTGATATTATGCTTCGAATGAAGAGATCAGCAGTCAGGCTGCAATTAGTATCTTGATCCTAATTCTGGATCTTCAATTCCTGCCCTTCTTGCCCTGGGATACCTCATGGTGCAGGGAGGGTCTGGGAATGTGGTGCTATTGGGCTTGGCATCTAGAAGTGGGCAGTGGAAATGGCACCTCTGAGACCCAGAAAGCTGCTGCTTTCATTGCTTTTCTGTCCTTTTCTCTTCCAGGTGCATTATCTGAGCATTTTACTGATGCCACCTGCTTGTACCTTGTCACCTGGAGACACAGCTGTTAAAATGTGACCTCCTTTGAAATAACCTTCTTCCTTTATTGAGTCGCCATGTGCCTGAGGGGGAAGTTGGACCTAATAAAGGAGAAACTGGTTTGACTGAGGTGGCTGGTGTGATGGTTCCTCCTGGGTTTTTATGGGGAGGAGGGAGAAACAAACTCTCCATGTGCCCTCCAGGCGTGTGGGAGCTTGTCAGGCAATGTTTGCTCGGCAGAAAGCCTGTGGCTGTTGTTCCCACCACCGGGAATGGGGAGGGAAGAACCTCCAGGGCACTGTGACCCCCCCAGTGCTGGGGAGAGGGAAGTGGGGGGGGGCACAGACTTCCCAGGGAGGAGCCTGGGGCTTCACTTCGGGAGAAGGTGGGGAAAGGGAAGGGTCTTTATTATTTTAATTCCCTTAGAAGAAGGGAGTTTGTCACAACAGGAATTGGGGCAGGGAAGGGGATTCCCCCTTGTACGGGGGGCTGATGGCAGGGACTGGGGGTCCCGGTGGGTCCCGGGATCCCGGTGTCCTGGTGGGTCCCGCTGTATCCCAGGGTGTCCCGGGATCCTGGTGTCCCGGTGGGTCCTGGGATCCTGGGGTCCCGGTGTATCCCGGTGTCCCGGTGGTCCTGGTGTATCCCGGAGTGTCTCGGGGTCCCGGTGTGTCCCGGGATCCTGGTATCCCGGGGTGTCCCGGCGTATCCCGGTGTCCCAGGGTGTCTCGGTGTCCCGGTGTCCCAGGGTGTCCCGGGATCCTGGTGTCCCGGTGTTCCCGGTGTCCCAGGGTGTCCGGGATCCTGGTGTCCCGGTGTTCCCGGTGTCCCAGGGTGTCCGGGATCCTGGTATCCCGGTGTTCCCGGTGTCCCAGGGTGTCCCGGGATCCTGGTGTCCCGGTGTTCCCGGGGTCCCGACCCGCATGCGCGGCTAAGGGGGGGATGGGGGGGCGCTCAGCCCCTCCTCGCTTCCCATTGGCTGGGTGGTTTCCCC